TGTGATGCAACAGGTATCAACACAGGCCCAAGAAGGAAACTTGTTTCTAGCAGAATCAGAAAGGAAGTTAACAAGTTGGTATAAATTGCCAGTTTTTGTTTGTTCATGTTGACAAAGAATTCACTAGGAGGGCTTTCAGGGCATAAGCAGTTAACAAAACCTGTCGATTTCTGGAAAGGACAGGCGGCCGTATGGTGTGAACACAGGTATATGGTGTCAAGGCAGGAGACGCCAGATCAGTAGCCATGAGCCAGTGCCTAAACCTGTGAGTTTAGCAACAAAGGGAAAGTCAGATCAAAGGGCTGACTGACCAGTGCGGAGCATGAACAGGAGAAGGGAGACAAGGAAATCGGGTGAAGTGGATTCAAGAGCCTCAGTCAAGAAAACGGCAATGGGAATCAAGAGATTCAAACCAAGGCGAGACACTGAAGGAGGGTCGGTGGGGCTTGGTGGCAAGGTGAGGGAGAGGGGAAAGTGTCCAGAGGGTGACCAGCAGGCGTCCAGTTTGTGCAACTGAGATACATTCCCCTTCATTGGTAGGGAAAAAAGCAGGATTGAGGCAGTCACCGTAAGGTGTTCTTAACCTTTTGACTTCAAGGTGCCTGCGGGGCCTCGAGTTGAGAGCTGCCCCTCTCACAAGCAGGCAAGTCTGCAGGTCAAGAAAGTGGTCTTGGCTGGACAGAGATTTGGATACCATTTTAGGGAACAGCCCAAGCCACAGGTGTGAAAGAGATCACCCAAGGAAAGTGGACCAAGTGAAAAAGAGAGGGTGAGAGAGTGCCACACTATCCAAGAAAGAAAAAGTAGGAATCGTTGAAGGAAATGACACAGCAACGGTTGTCGAGGCCCAGTCCGAGCTGGGGAGTGGGCTCCCCAGACAGACAAACAAGAATTCCCTAAAGGAAACAGCATATTTGGCCAAATGACTGGCGAGAACCAGAGGACACCAGGGAAGCAGTGGCCTTGTTTCCCTTAGTTGTTGAGGAACTGGGGTGCCCAACCAGGGCACTGTCATACGCCGTACCAGCTAGGAGCAAAGTATTTTGGTATCGCAGCTAAACCTGTCTTTCCCTCATCCTTCAAGAAGTCAACTGCTCTGCCACCAGAGAGGAATGTCTAGCCTTTTACCATTCTAGAAGGATCCCGTACCACCTATCAGTAACAACTCAGGGCCGTGGCCTCCAAGGTTCCCAGAGAGGGCTAAGCCTCTTCCACTGGGAAATCGCTCCCTTGAGCTGCTTTAAAGCTAGACTATCAGGGTGCCTTCACACCGTCCAAGACTCCACCACACCAGGAGACCAGCAGCCACATACCTTAAATTTAGGGACCGGGAGGGACAAGTCTCTGTTTTTGGACCTGACGTGGCAGCGGGGGTCCTGAAGGTCTTCAACCGGAATATACTTTGAGTCCTAGGAAAGAGAGCCAAAACAGAAGGGTAACTTGGCGGGAAACCCCAGGCGATTGAGTTCTAGGAAGCCCCTGGGAGAGCCAGCTGCAAGAGCTAGGTTCTGAGCTCCCACTTTCAGGAAGGGAGGCTCTGGGTCCAGGGGGTTGTAAATGCTGGAGAAGTGATGACGAGGAGCTGGTATAACTCAGACACTGGCCCAATTCAGATGCAGGGGTGACGGGACTCCTGCCCACAGTTTCTCCCATGGCACGGGGAGGCCCAGGTCACTCACGTTGACGCTGAAGTGAATTCCATCATAGCGGTACACCTTTTGAGAGGGTCGGCGCAAGGCAGGATCCAGGGCAGGGTCCACAATGAGCTTGTAGTTCCTCCACTGGAAGCTCGGGGCCTTCAGCCCATCTCCCCCACCTTCCTGATCCATCTTTGCTCATTTACACTGGCAGGGCAGAGAGATACGCAAGGAGGCTCGGGACTTGGTGTCCTCTCCCACGCTGTCCCTCACTAACTACCCCAGGCACCAGCTTCTCTTCTGGCTCCTTTCCACACCTCACCAGGACTCGCGATCTCCCCCTAGCCCCCCCCCCC